TGAGGTCCTGACTACTGATTACAGCATTGGGCAGCAGGCGCTCTCTGTGGACTCAGACCCATCAAAACCTCTTCCTAATGGCAGTCAGCCTCACCATATCGGGGGAATAAACATTCAGAGAAATCTGAGCTCAGTGCAACTTGTTGGAATGATATGTTTGGAATATAAGGTAAACTCAGAAATGGTTAAAAGCTAGACATTCACTAGGAAAAAGTTAGGAACTGATGGGAGGATCAGAAACACCTGTAACAAGTTCATGGCAGGGCGGACTTCTGGCCTATTCACAAAATAACCACAGACTCAAGCTCTCCTACAAAGGGAGTCATCAATCCGGTGAAGCAAACCCCAGAGCTGAGAAAAAAGGATTGAACTGCGGCTGTTCTTAAGAAAGAAAGCCTCAAAATACAGATTTTAAACTAAAAATGGTAAAAAGAGACAATGAAGAAAGAAGCCCAAAGAAGGATGCTCAGATCATTTGAGGTTAGATAATAAGGCAGGCTCAGCTCTTTGGATTGGCCTTTGTTCAGGCAGAATGTAGGTGGCAAAAACTAATGGGCTTCCCAAAGTCCAATAAGACGGCCTCTCTGAGTGGGTCAAATATTTTTCCTAAAATTTTGCCTTTTATATAGCAGTTCTGGTCACAAGGAAAATTCCAGTGACTAGAAATCTTCTGGGATTTTCCTCATTGATAAAAGGATTCCAGGATTTGAGGGTCAGGAGTGGCTCCACTTTGCTTCACTCGGTGCAGTAAAGGAAATCTAGTTCCCACTAATCCCTTGACAAAGATAATAAAGTGAAAGCAGCATTTTATCCAGGTGTCAGGACATACAGACACTACACACATATACAGGTGAGAAGAGAAATAAAACTAAATGTGGTTATGTCATGCCTCTTTCCTCCCTTTTCAAAATGTCCCAGAACCTAGGCTGGTAGAAGGGACTTTGAAAAACGCAATCTGGGTGAGCCCGGCAGTGCCCTCAGAGGCTGCTGAAAGTCATGCTGTCCACATTCTGAGAAAGAGAAGGGTGTGGGAAGAGGAATTCCAAGGGAGAAGGTTGTAAAGAGAAAAATTTCACTTTCTGGATTTAGTGAGGGGGCTCACAGGTGCCCAACAGGGGGCATGGGCTGTGTTGAAGAGAAAAATAGATGAGTGTAAGGGCAGCAGGGCCATGATGAGACTCCCAAGCAAGAAAGGAAGAGTGTTTATGCAGCTGTAATGAGTGGGAGACTTTAGTGGAGAGAGATTTTTAGGAAATGTTCTAGGTGGCACATCACAAAAATCCCTGTGCCAGGAGATCTGGGATAACCATCTACACCATTCCTCATGGCTCTGGGATGTATCTTTGAAGGGGACACCAGGCAGAGACTGGCCCCAGATAGAGCCCATTATATTTGGGCTACAGTCCAAGCATGATAGGGGTCCTTGACTGTCACCTGCCTCAGTGAGGCTGACTGTGGAATTCAAAGTCAATGATTTCAATGCTGATCACAGTGATTCATGTATTTTGTTTTCCATTAGCAAAACGGAAATATCACAAGGCTTTAATAAACAGCTAATCTTTGATCCTCATGAGAAAATTTGATCAACCCATCCTAGAGGAAGATTAAAATTTTAACAAAGATAGGCTAAATCTATCCTTAGTTTCACATCACTGTTGAACTTCAGGTCAGTGAATAAAAACATAACCCAATTCTGTTCAACAATCTGAAATTAATCTAAGTGTAGCTGTGGGATCATAGAACTGAAACATATTATGATCTCATATTTCCCTTTGGTCTAAACAATCCTTATTAAAGGACTAGGGCAAATAAAAAGTTTCCTTTCACTTTTCTCAAAGATTTTCCACAGTTTTAAGGTTGAAGACTGGTTGACATGAGTGAATCACTCATTTGGCAATATGTCTACATTTCTAGATAATTGAGATAGAGAGGAACTGTAGGGAGAGGGCGATATTTGAGTGGGTTGAAGCCCTGGATTTCCTTATGAAAATATTTTATACTGATCTCCCTTGCTCTATGAATTCCAATTAAAACAAATAACTTCCTACTTTTTAACTTTAACACACAGCAATCCATACACATAGGTAACTTTTTTTTTTAAATCCTCATCCGATGATATGTTTTTCATTGATTCAAGACAGAGAAGAAGGGAGAGAGAGAGAGAAACATCAGTCAGTTGCCTCCCACATGTGCCCTGGCTGGGAGTGGAACCCACACCTTTCAGTACAGCCTACCGGACAGGGCCACATATGCAACTTCTAATGATGCATTTGGTTTTGGAATGGTTTGTGTAAAGATAATAAAATGTAAGTAGAAATTTATTTTCATGAATCAGAACAAGTAAATATGTATTTTATTTATGTAAAATATTCTATATAATGATAACAAAAAAAGTTTCAGCAAAAACATGAAGCATGTATTGGAGGCAGTGATAATGCTTTAAATGAAAAACTATAATAAATGATAAGCAAACCTTTTCTGTCAAAATATGGACTACCTGAAGAACCAAGAAAACAGGCAGAGGGCTCCCAGACATAGTTCTCAGTGGAAGTGGAAGCGGCTGTGAGGAAGGCTGGGGAATGGCGAAGGGGGAAGGGGTGATTTATAAAAAAAGAAAACGAAAACTTAGTGAAAAAGAATCTTTCTAATAAAAATCTCAAGCTTTTGTTGTTAGCACCTAAGTAGAACTGAGGCAAAGCTAAAGGAATTCTTTACAAACCTTAATTAGAATCTAAGAAAGGAAACTCCTCTTATTTATACAGGAGTTGACAGCAGTCTGCTTTACTGGGAGGGAACTGGCTCCAAACAGGACCAGGAATACGGCGAATGCCGGGGTCAGGGTGCTTCCAGCCCACCATGATTCTGCCTTTTCGGCTTCAACCTTATCCTGAGTGATGTCCCTACCTCAGTGCTCGATCTAGAACTTGGCAGGTCAGCCAACTGCGTGTAACTTCACTCACATGCAGAAGAAAAAGATTCTTTCCTTCAGAAACTCTTATAAAAGTTCTTGTTAGGATTTCTGAGGGTCCTACTGGCCTATGACCAATGATAGTTCTAAATATTTTGTTTTTCTTATTTTTAAACGTTTAATACCGTTAGTTTTTCACAGTGAAAATGATCACTGAAATTGCTTTCTCATATTAAGCAGCAATTCATAAAATGATTTGTTGTATCAACCTCATTATTTGTATCTCTCCGTGCAGCCAGGCACCAAGCAGGGGACGAACACTAAAGTTAGGCAATGAGCCTCAACAATGACCCTGAGGTGGCCTCTGTGCCTGTCCACTGGGACTGTAAACAGCTCCCAGTGTGGGGAGGGGGAGGCACAGATTGAGTCACCTCTGAGCTGAAGTGGCTTCCCATTGGCTAAGGGATAATTCTGAATCTGCTTAGCATTGTTTATGAAGCAGGTCGTACTCCTGACCCCACTGGTTACTCATCAAACCCTGTTCTCCACTCCATTCACATGGACCCAGTGCTATTTCTTCTGCCTGAAACACCTTTCTCCCTCCTCCCACTTTTCCTTCAAATACTAACGTAGGATTTCCTGACTGATTCCCCAAGTCTGGTTCAGGAACTGTGCTAAAATAAGAAATGAATTAAGGGGCAAAGAATGTTGAGCAAAATTAAACAATACTTTCCATTTTCCCTTTTTATTTCAGTCCTTTATTGTGCAAATCCATTGCGTTTGTAAAACAAAATAGCACATTCATACCCCTTGGCAAGGCAGCCCCTACTATAAGCCTATAATATTTGAGGTTTGGAGAACAGTGAAGTCATCTCGTTTGCCCCCTCCCGCACCCCAGGTATTAGAAATGAGAAAGGCATTAGAAAAGGAGGGAGGAAATTAAAGGGGCTAATAGGAAAACATAATCGCATGTCTGGATTACTTTATCATGAGACATTATGAAATGTTCAGTCAATGAAACTCAGCATGTATAGATAAAGGCTGTATTACTCAATTAAGTCTGCTATACTTCTGAATAGTACACAATGAATATTCTCAATTTATCAGCTAGGAACTGAGAACATACAGGTTGCATTGTTAATTTGGGCACAGGTAAAAATAAAAATTGAGAAAGCAAGAAAAAGAAGAAAACATTAAAATATTATCATCTAATCATTACAGGGTGATTTATTAAAAGGTGCTTTTTGGTTATAGTTCATCAATATCTTAGTAAAAGCTCTACTATATCTTTTTTTTAATAAAATAGATTTATAACCGTAAGTATGAGAGTGGAAGGAAAATAGTAGAATTTAGGATGTTAATTCCTACTGTGATAATTCTTAAATAAAGCCCCCGCCCATATTCCTATAGATCCTAAATTGATATACTATATATACTTGAAGTATTTTATTTTTTCCTATGATCATCCTTCATTCTTACTAATATAATTTATGACTTTATATGAGTATATATATTCAAAGATATATACTTCCAAACATTATATATAACACATATATATTGTCCTGAACTTTCTTGACTACATTTTATTGGGCCAATTAAATGGGGAAAAAAATAGCAAACCATGCCTACAAAAATTATAAATTTTAAATAATGGCTGCATTAGCATAAATTTATTGTAATTAATAATAGCACATTTTGAAAATTAAGTAAGTTTATGCTAAAAATGGTTAAAATACTAAAAAATAATGAGTAGAACTATGTAAAGTATAATATACTATAACTATAAAGTATACTAAAGAGAATGTTCACATGCAATCAATATTTACCATTTATTAACGTGCATCTTTTCCTAAGAGCTCTTTTTAAAGGAAACTTCTAAAATGTTTCTAAAAATTATTTTAACATAGAAAATTAAAAGTGTAATTTATTTAATTACTATATGTATAATGTATAAAACTCATATTTCAAGAAAAAGTCCGCAACAGTTCTGGAAGAACAATGCATTTCCTGTTATAGTCTCTAGTGCATAATCATGATGGCGTTATATTTTTCATTGGCCATTGTTATATTTTTCATTGGCCATTGTGCTTACCTCCACATCTTGGGATTGGTCCACTCCACATCACTTTTCCATCCATGAGAATACATGTGATTGTTTCCGTTCCCTGGGTTTTAATAAATCCTTCTTCACAAATGACTGAAATCGAACTTCCCAATTGAAAGTTGTCCCCAAACCGCCTTGCGTTGATTGGTATTCCAGGATCAGGACACTCATTATGCCCAAACGCTTGAGAACAGCAAACAGAAACACACAGTATGAGAGAATCGTTTGTGTACTTGGGGTGAGTAAAAGTGATTTTAAAAAAAGTTATGTTTATAGCTAGAAAAGCCTTCATTTAAAAAATAAATACATAAAAATGGGAGGCTCTGCCCAATCTGTAATGTGCAATAGTAGTGATGGCTTTAAAATGTTAGTTTCGTAAGATTTCAAAATAGAACTGTTTCTGCTTATTTCCGGACACTATTAGGCTTAGTCTATGCTAAAATTTTCAGTAAAAGCTAGTCAGGATTCCAGCAAATGTGAATACGGAACAGGTTAACTCTAAACCATTGCAGACTTTTCTTAGGAGCCACTGTTTGGAATGAAGGAACCGTCTCATTGTGGGAATTAAAGTGAAATGTTTCAATCTAGCATGAAGGTCTTACAAGTTCTTTATCATTTGCCGTATGTCACCTATTTTCTGCCAACTAGGAAAAGGGAAAAAAGATAACTCTTTGTAATTACCATGTTTTAGGCTCTCTGATAGGAGCTTTAGGAATGGTATTATCTCATTTAACATTTAGAATGGCCTGCTGAGCCAAGTATCACCACTGCCCTTAAATTAATCCTTCGTCGTGTTGCTTCCTGCCATGTGAATTTGTCTCAGGGACTATAATTCTGGGCTGTTGTTATCTGTTAATGTCTCCTACTAGTTTATAAATATTTCAAGAAAAGTTCTATCTCCCTTTTAATAACAGAGCAAAACTTGTGATATATAGTAGGTTTGAGGTTATGCTTATAAGACTTAATAAGTGAACATACTGGCTGATATAACAATGATATTTGAAACATATTCCCTTAATAGCAGGCCTCCCATACACAGTAGGGATTATGATATGGTTGGCAATCAGGACCCAATGAACATCCCCGGCCCAAGTATGTGTATAACTTGCTCAAGTTTCCTCATCTATGGAAGAAGAGAGCTGGTTTGCATGATTTCTGTCTAGCTCAGCTTTGTAGAAATATGTTATAGGGAAAACATGAACTTACTGTTGTAGGTGATGTTGAAGCCACGTCCTGACATTGAGTGGTCAGCTTGAAATTCCAGCCGCAGGATATGACTGTTACTAGTAAGATGGGAGGGCACCTCAGCCCCGGTGAAGGTTCCGAGAATCGGGGAGTCTGGAGAGTCACCGTCTTTAACAGCAAGGAAGTCAAACTGAGATTCCAGATCAAAGTCATTAAAAGAAAGGTGGATCCGACTCCCTGGGTCAGAGATTATTGTCCAGATGCAGTTTAGATTATTCCCATATCCTTCCGGGTAATCAGGAGAAAGGACTGTTCCCATAGGTGCGGTGAAGTTAGAGAGGCAAGGGACTGTGAAAAGGAGATTATTAAATAGAATAAATGTTAAAAAGTCATATTTTACCTTATATGCTACAATCATGATAATCAATTACAGCTTGAAAAATACTAACAATTTAAAATATCTTATAAGACAGAAAATAAAATTTACCTTTTTACATATTAGAAATGGCAACTAGTATTTTAGCTAATTGTATGCTAAAATATGCACAAAAATACAATTGGAGCAATAACAGCTATTTATTTAGACATTTATGATGTTTGTGTTAGAATGCTGTGCAATTTTGGTCCTGTACTTAAAAATAATACTAGAGAAATATTTTGAGACATCATAGAAAGCAATATGCTTATGAAATAATTGAAGGCAACAAAATATTTTGTGACTATTAATAGAAATGGGATGGTGTAGCCCAGAGAAAATTTGTAATAAGAGTGGTATTGGTGAGTTTCATTCTTACCATGTCAAGGGATGCTCTGATAGTTTATAACACAGATAAGGAAATACATTAACTTTTATAATTGCCACCCCTGTGGTTAACACTGGAAAAACAAGTAAACTCTCACACTATACTAAGTTGAAGTACCCACCCACTTCCAGTTTTCCTTTTTTAACTTTTAAAATCATCTGACCTAAAGGTTCACATAGAATATTTAGAAATCAAAAGGAGGATTAAAAAAATAGAAAAGTAAATGATCACACAGAGGAAATCAGTTAATATAATGATGCATTTTCTTCCAGTTTTTATTACATGTTTTTAACAAAATTGAATTCATACAATTTTGCACCAAATTTTATTTACAAAGGGTAAAAATGCCTCAAAATATTTTGCTAAATTTCTGCCTAGAAAAGTTGTATTAATTTATACTGAAATGTAACAAATATATTAGTAAGTACAATACCCCTACCAGCATAAAAGGGTGTGACTATTTTACCTTTCTTATTTGATAGAAAAATGACCAATTTCTATCGCTTTACAGAAATAAAAAAAGATTATTTTATATCTAAATGTATGTAGTTTATGTAAAATATGTAAAAAGAATAATCAAAATATATAAATTATAAAATTTATCATTTTTATATATACTATTTAATTTCAATTTGCTTTTTCCGTATGTAATTATGTTAGAAGTTAAAACCAAGACTTGGAAACTGAGAACCACTGGACTGAATCCAGACTGCAAATGTGTTTGGTTTATTCTTTTCTTATGCCTACAGAAAAAATAAAATCACCTTTAAATTCATCATATTTCATACTCAAGGGGAAAAAATCTGGAGTTCTAACTTCTCTAATGCATTACAATTCCCTATCACTTCTTGTTCGCTTTTCACACTCTGACCTGACTGCATCCTGAAATCATTGATTCTATAGCCTTGATCTAAGTTAAGGGTCAGCAAACTTTTTCTGTGAAGGGACAGATAGTAAATGTTTGCCTATACAATCCACGTGGTCTCCTTTGTAACTACTGAACTCTGCCACTGCAAACAGGAAAGCAGCCATGAACAACAGATAAGTGAAAGTAAGTGGCTATGTTCCCACAAAACTTTATTTACAAAACCAGGATTCAGGCTAGATTTGACCACAGTCCTCAGTTTGTCAATCTCTGATCTAAATGATCCCCACCTGGAGCAAGAGCTGTCCAAACTCTACCACTCTAATCTCATCAGAAAGATAGGTAGAAGTCTATATAACATAGTAGTCCCCATATCCTCGGTTTCATTTTCCAGATTTCCATTATCTACGGCCAATCTTGGTTTGAAAATATTAAATAGAAAATTCCAGAAGTGAACACTCTATAAATTTTAAATTGTGGGTCACTATGAGTAAACTTCATGAAATCTCATCAGTCCTGGTCCATCCAGCCAGGGATGTGAATCATCCATTGTCCAGCTCTCCACACTGGTATATGCTGCCCACCCATTAGTCACTGAGTAAGTAGCCTTCTTGGTTATCAGATACATTGTCTAGGAATTAGTATCATAGTGCTTGTGTTCAAGTGGCCCTTATTCCACTTCATAAGGAACCCAAAGCACAAGAGTGGTGATGCTGGCAATACAGATACACCAAAGAGAAGCCATAAAGTGCTTCCTGTAAGTGAAAAGGTGAGAACAATACAATATTTTGAGGGAGAGACTACATTCACTTTTATCACATGCAATTATATGTGACCACTTTTCTATTTTATTATTAGTTACTAGAGGCCTGGTGCACAAATTCATGTGCGGGTGGGGTCCCTTTTCTTGCTGGTGATGGGGCAGACGGGGGCAGGGGGCGGCTGTCTGGGGGAGGGGCCGTGAGAAGTTGGTAAGCCAGGCCCCCTCCATTGGGGCAAAATGGAGGAAGGCACCATGAGAGGTTGGTCAGCAGTGGGGGGGAGGGCTGCAGGAGGTTGGCTGGCTGCTCCCCCACCCTCATCGGGGCTGATCTGGGGGGCTGGCCAGGGGGAAGGACCACAGGAGGTTGGCTATGGGAGCACACTGACCACCAGGGGGAAGCTCCTGCATTGAGTTCTGCCCCCTGGTGGTCAGTGTGCATCATAGCGACCGGTCGACCAGTTGTTTGGTCCTTCAGTGGTTTGGTCGCTTAGGCTTTTATATATAGAGATTTCCATCTCTTATTTTGCCTAATTTATTGATTAAGCTTTATCATAGCTATTCTATATAATAAAAGCTCAGCGAGCGAACGGAGGAAGGACCAGAACAACCGGTCGACCAATCGCTATGACATACACTGACCACCAGGAGGCAAACACTCAATGCAGTAGCTGCCTTCTGGTGGTCAGTGTGCTCCCACAGTGGGAGCACCGCTTGGCTGACCGGGATGAGCAGTGCTCCCATAGCAGGCCAATCCCCGCAGGCCACACCCCCACTAGTGCATGAATCCTGTGCACCAGGCCTCTAGTATATCTATAAAAGACAGTATATATATATATATATAGCATTTGATACAGCCCATTGTTTCATGCACCCACTGAGAGTCCTTGGGACATATCATCCTTCAGATAAAGGGTGCTACTATAGTCTAAATCAGGGGTGGGCAAACTTTTTGACTCGAGGGCCACAATAGGTTCTTAAACTGGACCGGAGGGCCGGAACAAAAGCATGGATGGAGTGTTTGTGTGAACTAATACATGTTAACACTGCTGCTGGTGAAGGAGCGGAGGGGAGAGCAAGAGAACCCTCCGCTCTTTCGGCTCCGCGGGCCGGATAGAACAGCCAAACGGGCTGGATCCGGCCGGCAGGCCATAGTTTGCCCATGGCTGGTCTAAATCCTTAATTATATTAGACTAGAGGCCCGAAGCACCAAATTTGTGCAAGGGGCTTGGCCCTCACAGTCCCAGCTTTGTCCAGAAGGTCATCTGAAAGGACACACAGGTGGTCATTCGGCTGTCCAGTTTAATTAGCATATTACACTTTTATTATTATAGATTCCATTTTTATGTGACTTCCTTTGACCCAGTGTTATATGTCTGTGAGCACCACACTGATTTTATGGTAATAAAATGCTATAGTATCCACATAAACATCTTTATTATCCACATAAATTTGGTATCTACATAAACATATATTCTGGCCTGTTTTTAAAATCTATCTGTATGTCAATACATTAGGTCAAATTCACCAAAAATTTATACTAGAAATTTTAATTGAAATTTCAAAGCAATTTCTATATAATTCTCATATTTAATATAAGGTCTTCTCATTCAGGAACATGGTGTTTATTTTTTTCATTATTTCCTTCCCTAATAAGTTGATTTTTTTTTCTATGAGGTATTTGGTTTTATGTAAGGATTCTTTCTATATTTTTATAACTTTATTTTGTGAATAAATTCTCTTCCAATTACACTTTTAAATTAGCTATTGTTGGTATATAAGAAAAATATTGTCACATATATCAGGATGAAAGATTTAATTTTCTTTAAAATAGTAAAAAGTGTTCTTTACATTTCCAAAGTTATAAAATTTGTTTTAGTTAGCATATTTTAAGTATTTTATTAAATGCATTTTATCATTTATTAAAGCTATATAGTATTATCATTTTTATGTGATATATTACATTAATATGAGTATCCAATATTACACCAACATTATCTCCTTGGAAGAACACCTAGAGCTAAAGATCTTCAAGTTAAAGTCTTTTGAGATATTACTAAGCTTTAGATGCTGCTGATATAATTGAATCAGACTATCTAATGTGTTTTATTCTCCCACAACAGGAACTTCCCAAGGTGATCGTGATTAAAAATGAACACTGTCCCTAAACTGAAAAAGTTCCACTTAGAAGGACCTGTGAAATCTTCCTCTCCTAGATTTCCCAAAGAACAATACAAATATACTGTAACTAGGGAAATTTCTGCCAGATTCTAAAAACACCCATTTTACTGAAATGTAAGGTAAGTTATCATGGCAATTTGTATCTAGAACACTATAATGAGAAAGAGCAATGCATATTTGTTAGTTTCTGTATATTTGTATTTTTTATATATATATCAGGAATTATTTGGCCTGTATTCACTTTAAAAGTTCACTTACACTTTTGAAAGTGTTAAATAATTTTAAAATGTTAAATAATCAACATTTCCAACAATAGAAAATGTATTTTAAAGCATATATTATAATCAGGTAAAATGTAGATCTTTAAAAAAAAAAAAACCCAGGAAATATTAAAGTAAGGTTTGTGCTAATGTCTTTGCAGGAAATACAGGATTTCACAAATAAAAAGCATTAACATTATAAGTTGAATACAGATGAAAAGCCATATTTAAAAACTAGAAAAATTACTTTTACTTTAATGATTATTGGCTTATATGCTTTCATCTGAAAATATTCAAAGTTAAAATTCAAAATTTTTAATATTGCAATCACATGTGGCAAGTTGTATTTGTTGGTAATGAAGACAGTATTTAATTAAACCTAAATGTGCCTCAGTATACAATACAGATTATATTTTTGTTGCAGTTAAATTGGAACATTTTAATGTATTTGAAAAAATACTTTAATCCAAGCATACTATATTTCATAAACATTAATGCATTTTATTCTGTACAATATAAATAAATGGCACATAAATATGCATTAATGTGAGCATCTACAAGCAAAAATAAGTTAAGGCATTGTACACAAAATATAAGCTAGAAATATTTTAAGTTTGTTTGCCACTAAGCATATACTATCTTGTGAAAATAAATGAGTTTATTAGAATTAGTTCAGATGTATAATTTCCATAATAAGTATGCTATCTATAAAGTATAAAGTGCCACCAATAAAGTGTTATGAGAACATGTAATATATACTTTGCAATTACCAAGTAAACTTTGTTGACTTTATTTAAATCTGTAATGAAATTTATAATTTGGCATAAACACATTTGTTAAAGATAGTATCACAAAGTGCTACTCATTCAAAAATAATTACACGGTTCCAGCTCTTTGAAATTAATTACAAAAACAATTATATGCAAGGACAGGGTAACATATGCTATCTGGAAGAAAGCATTTGGTACTCACAGATACAGATGGGTATGTTTGCAGACCATTGGTTATTCTCTTGACAAACAATGGATTTTTCTCCAATTAATTCAAACCCAAACTGGCATTCGAACCTCAGAACATCACGATTAGAAAATCCATCGCCTTCTCTAATTCCATATAAAGGGGTACCGGGATCGCCACAACTTTCTTTTTCAATTTCTGTAAAAATAGATTAGAGTCATTTTCCAAGGGCTTCAGGCATTTGACATCCATACATCCAGTTTAGTTAGTATATGTACACTCTATATAGCTATTTCAGAGAAAAGGATGAAAATTATCTGATATTATTATTATTAATTTGTTTGCTACTCTTTTGGATTGTTTTGATAAAATGATGTAGGAAATAGTGTATTTCTCTGATTTAGGGGAAACTGAGGTTATCAGAGCTATTGTCACTGCTCCTAACAGAACAGTCATGACAAGATTCAGATTTTCTGATTCAGCTGGTGTGGCTCAGCGGTTGATTATGACCCAGAAACCAAGAGCTTGTAGGTTCTTGCAGACTTGATCCCCAGGCCATGCAGGAGGCACCCAATTGATAACTTCCTCTCTCATCGATGTTTTTATCTACCCCTGTCCTTTCCTCTCTCTTTAAAAAATCAATAAAAATGTATATTTGTATACAATTCAGATTTTCTGTCTGTAATGTGTATATACTCATCCATACACACACACATGTACAGAGTGAGGCAAAAGTAGGTTTACAGTTGTGAGTACGTGAGACAAAGTTTATTCTTACATTATTATTTACTAATAATTGTATTATTTCCATGTGAACAACTGTAAACCTACTTTTGCTCCACCTTGTACATATGTATTTTCCCCAAATACCAACACATTGAGGGTTAGGTTTCAAGATATGAATTTTATAGAGACACAAATTTTCAGCCTATAGCAGGGGCAGTGATGGTGGAACCAGGGGTGGAAGACATCTTGAGGTCAAGTAGGTGATGGTGTGGCTGAGAGCCAAGCAAGTAGAAGTAAGGCCAAGGAGGCAGCCAGTAATGTTGGGGAATTAATTATACATGAAGGAATTGAGCAAATCACAAATGCATTAAAAATAAGGGTAGCCAGCCTGACCGGTGTGGGTCAGTGGTTGAACCAGGAGGTCATGGTTCAATTCCTGGTCAGGTGGTGGGATCAGTCTCCAGTAGGGAGCATGCAGGAGGCAGCTGATTAATGATTCTCTCTCATCATTGCTATTTCTATATTTCTCCCTTTCCCTTCCTCTCTAAAATCAATAAAAATATTTTTTAAAAAATAATATCGGTAGCCAAACGTGTCACTATCAATAAGGGGATGTGGAAAAAGGGAAAGCTACAAAGAATCCTGAGGTGGTTGAACTAAAATTGGGTGAATTGTTGGAAACTCATGTTTAAAATATAGATAGATAAAAAGATGATAATAGATCTAGATATGAGTATGTGTATATAAATACACACATATATCAAAATACACACATATACATATGTGCATTTTCTAGCTATATCCATTAAGAGTCCTAAAAGCAATATATCCCTATACTAACAAATACATTGAATGTCCAGATCTTGACCTCAATATGATTTCTCACTAAAAGGAACCAGGAAGGCTGCTTCTGAGATGAATTAGATGAGACTGGAACACCTTGTTTGTCAAAGAACAACAGCAACATGCTTGAAGAATGATGGTGTCAACAAGCTTGAGGGACTCTACCGCCATTCTCAGGCAGTTTAAACAACAATGTAATGACAGATTACTGCTAATTGAATGCAAAATAAATTCATAAATCCATATTGATATAAATAAACAGGAGGGAAGGGAAAACTCGGTCTCCATATAGAATAATAGTTAAAAATGAAAACCCACCTTTGGCAGCCATCATAGTGATTTTGGATTTAGGGTAAATGTTTGATAAAAAGCAAGATACTAGTGTGGTGAAGGCCCAGGGAGGGGGTGAGGGTAGGTAGGAGGAAGGTGAGTGGAGGAAAAAAGGGACATCTGTAATACTTTCAACAATAAAACTGAATTAAAAATAATAATTTGCCAAAACCGGTTTGGCTCAGTGGATAGAGCATCAGCCTGCGGACTGAAAGGTCCCAGGTAATTTGAGCCCAACCAGTGTTGCTCAGTGGTTAAGCATCAACCTATGAACCAGGAGGATTCCCAGTTAGTGCACATGCCAGGGTTGTGGGCTCAATCCCCAGTAGGGGTCGTGCAGGAGGAGCTGATCGATGATTCTCCCTCATATCCTCTCTATCTCTCCCTCTTCCTTCCTCTCTGAAATCAATAAAAGAATTTATTAAAAATAATAATGATCTGAGAAAATTAAAAATAAATAAAACAAAACAAACAAAAACAAGATATTGACATAATTTTGGATTACCTTTCTGTAAAACACCTATCAATCACAAAGATCAAAATGGTGGTGGATCCATGGGAAAACCCAGGAGACACTAATTTCACAAGGGTCACGTAACCGGTGCATCCTGCCCTTGTTTGCCTCGTGCGTGATGCACTAAGATGATGAGCATCATTTTTGCCGAGAATGAATGGTCTAAGTCTGTGTAGGAGGAAGGACTGGACAGACCCGGATTAAGAGTCATATTACAGGATGAAAGGCTTGTACTTTTAAAGCTGTCATGGTCATGACAGACCAGGGAAAAACTGAAAAAAATGCACCCAAATTGAGTGAAATGAAAGAGACATGACAAGCAAATTCAATAAAGTTCCATGAATTAAATCCTGGCAAGGAAGGAAAAAGAGACATTTGAATGGAGTGCGCGAATTATTTGGTAGTGTTGTATTGATGTGGATTTTCTAATTCGGATGGCTGTTATGTGAGTTTTTGTTTTGCTGACATTCAAACAGCACTTGGGAGTGATGAAGCATTATGTTTGTATCTTGCCCTCAGAGGGTTCTTTGGTGGTTTTAAATCATGTCTGTAAATTCTTTACTGTTCCTCTTATCAGAAGGTGGACTCAACTTCTCCCTTTGGTCAGCATTAGTGACTAGCTTCTAATGAATGAAGGGTGGCATGATGACACTCATGACCACTTCTTTTGGCTTCTCTCCTAACAATACCAGCTGTCTCAAGCCCCTGCATTTTCCCCAAGGGGCTGCTATGCCACCTGCACACAGCCTTATGAGGATCCAATGAGATAGCTTGCCTAATCTCACATTTTAAGTGGCAGAAATGGATTTGAACCCAGATGGTATGGTTCCAGAATATGAGTTCTTAAGCATTATACCCTCTTCAAGAGTAGTTGTGGAAATACAAAGAAGGAAGAAATGCAATAAAGAATTAGCATACAGAAGCATGTGGTTCTACTAGTAACCAATATAAGCCATCTAAAATTTGTGTAAGTATACAGAACAACACAGACAGGAAATCATAGAATGACATAGTTACAACTTTTGAATAGTTTAAATTTTATAGTTGAATCATTACTGTAGGATTTGTGTGGTGAGCATTTTCTGTTTTCCCTTCAAGAACCATTCTGAATCCTGTTCTATCCCATCCCCAGGGTGCGGGTAAAGGCGGACCCACATGGATCCATAATAGGCTCCTATGCTGCCTGGCTTCCTGTGTGTGCAATGGGTGGTCAGGAAAGAGGTGGCCTGGGCGGGAGGTCAGGGGAAGAGTTCAGTAAGGGAATTCCGCCCCCCCCTCCCAATTTCTCCTCTGCTGGATCACCCTTTACTGAAAGCCAAGTTTATTTCAGACTTTCTCTCCTTACAGCTGCCCTCTGAGAGCTGCGGTTCTCATTCCTGAGGGTGATAAGGACTCTCTCCCAGCCAGGAATATAGTATTGCCTCTTGTTAACTTCCTTCAGCTCTGCTCATACACACCCCCTGCGAAGGTGCCATTGGTTACCTGCAGTGTCCCTGATTGATACAATATAATTTACCATTGAAAGCTCAGTACAACACACACACACACACACACAAAATAATCTAGTTAGCAGCCTACTGATACTTGATTTTATTTATAATATATATATTTTTTAGAACATAAGATGGGGTTGAGATTCCTTTAACAAGGGCTGCCTCCATTGGAAATCAGGTAAACACTATGCACTCTTCACAACTAAATTTGGAAGAAACCAAGTGAGTAGCAGTTGCAGAGTCAGAGGTTGGAGCTCAGGGGATAGCAACCAACCGGCCCTGCTCTTTTCCTTTCCTGCTGTGGAGGCAAAGATATCAGAAGCCAAGGAAGAGGCGCTAAAATAAGTGAGAATGGGAGATTAGAGGAAATGTAAGAGGACTACTCAGAAGGCTCTCCTGCAGTGAGCTGAGAACAAAACTGAAAATACAGGTTTAGATGATAGTGGCTGAAATTTGTACAATAGGACTCTTTCAACACCTTTTTTTTTTTTTAGTGACCAAGTAACTTTGATCCTTGATGCCTAAAGTAATAAACTTTAATTTTAAATTCAATCAGATTTCCAGCCAAAGACTAACATTTGGCCTTAAAGTGACATAGAAATTCCCATTGATCAATCTCTGACTTGACAACAGTTGACACTGTAATTCAAATACCTCACCGAGAAACTGTGTAGGTTAAAAGAAAGTGATCTGTGAAACTTGCAGTTTTGCTGATTCTTAATGTTAAGAAGCCTCTTGAGAATCTTATTACCTTGGCAACGGGCTTACAAAGGTTGGGGAATATTGAATCATGCAGCTAGAAAAGACCTTGTGAGTTAAACTCTGTTTCACCTTCAAGCATCTCAGACAAATGAGACTACAGTCAACATTCAAAGATATTTTTGAGAGGGAAGTCTCTAACTTCCTACGAAAAGTGATGAAGGACATATTTACAATAATACATGTGTAAAGTGTTTTATAATCATGATGAAAACACTGACATTTAAAAAGCTTCAGACTTCGCACAACCATTTAATGAAAAATATGCAAAATTCCAAATGCTGGAAATATGCCCTGAGACAAGATTCACAAAGTTGACCCTTCACTGAGCTGGTCTAGAAAAACCTCTGCAGTCAGTACTTAAATTATACACTCTTCTGAGACGTAGCAAATAGAGGCACTCCCAAACAAACAAAACACCCCCAGCCCAATTCTTAATCATATTTCAACTTAAAAGTTATTGAACTTGTTACTATGTTTAACAGAATTAAGAACTCATATTTGTGATAAAAAAAATGTGCTTTTCTTTGGTG